GAGACATATCATGTGGACTTATTGTCTATCAACAACATATTGACGTAGTTTGCTTTGAGCAAGACACACTACGTCTCTGGACGAAGCGACTATTGCATAACATCTGTTATGTAATAGGAGGAGACTGGTCTACTGCGCCGTAATGGAAGCAAAGACCATAAGAAAAGAGAGAAGAAGAAGAAGAAGAAGAAGTATAAACACCACTCTACTGCGCCGTAATGGAAGCAAAGATCATAAGAAAAGAGAGAAGTATAAACACCAGAGATTAATAAACATTATGATTTGTCAATTGCAAGGATAAACGAAATAAATGTCGATGATGGATAAAATTGCAGATTGTTGTCGTGCCTGTTTGAAAATAGATTGTAAACTTACTTCTATAAGAATCCAGGACACTGACTCTATAAAGTTTTTGGACAAATTATTAGTATGTGTAGCTGAAGTGGTAAGTTTAGTGTTTCACAGTACATTATTTTATCAGTGAAATTCATTAACAATAGTGAATTGTCGATAGAATTATACACAACATCTTGTCATACATATTGAGACTTCAAATAATTGATAATAATTGTAATTTATTGAACAAAATTACAATTTTTCTCAGCTGGCTATCGACCGAAGTCCTTCCGCCCGTGTAACACAATGGCTTTGAAATAACATAGCTTATTTTACAGTATCAAAAAAAAATGGATATGAGGATGAACAAACAAAACAATTTCATTGATAAAGTTGTGTTCATTTTTCTAACAGTGTTTCTTTTGGGTGTCGGATGTCGTACTCTTGCATGGGGGTTTCTTGTCACAGCATACTTTCTAATGATTTCTACATTTTCGTCTTTTCTAGCAAACTTCTGAGTAAGTCTTTCATCGATAGGGATAATACCAGTGAGTTCGTACAGCAGAGGATTTGGAGGGTTGTGTTTGGGGTTATTGGGATGCCTTAATCTTGTCATTTTCCTTATAGCCGTTGTTTCAGACACTTCATTTGTTTTCAAGGCCTTTTGTTTGATATTGAGAAACAGTGGGTGCGAGTATTCAATAAGTGGCCGACAGATTAGTTTATATATTCGGTTTGCTGTTGATATGTTTGCACCTGCTCCCGGGTTTGTCGAACTTGTGAAATGTGCGGCTCTTGCAACCACTTTCTTTTTTTTTGTTGTTGTTGTGGCTGTTGAAATTTAGTTTGGAATCAAGCGTAACACCCAGGTAATCAACTGTCAATTTTGAATGTAAAATATGTTGGAAAACGTCGATTGTTGGTGAAGTTGCGGAATTCTGATGATTAAATATGATGAACTGAGACTTCGATGGGTTTGGCTGGAGCTTCCATTTATTGAACCAGTTATTTGTTATTGTTGCAAAATGTTCCAAATTGTTAATAACTTTGTCTAGCATTTGATCGTGCACAATTAGGGCAGTATCATCTGCATACCGGAGAATATATGCTTCATGTTTGAAGTGGTTGATATTCACTTGTTGATGATGATAAATATCAGAGCTGTATAAGTTATATAACAATGGTGAGAGCGGTGAACCCTGTGGAACTCCCTGTTCTAGGATGAATTCGTCTGAAAAACTACTCAGTATTTTAACTCTCAGTTGCCTGTGTTGTTCAGCTTGATTGTTTCAATGTTGTTCGTGAGAATCATGAGAGGATATATAGTAGATCTTCCTTGTCTAAATTCAAACTGGTAGCTTGGAATTTTATCATTAAACAATTGGAGTAAACGGTTTATAAAAGTTTTCAAAGTTTTTACCAATTACAGGTAGGATAGTAATCGGACGATAACTGTCTGTAAGGGAGTGATCCTTGTTTGGTTTGGGAATAGTAATTATTGTGCCCATTTTCCAATTGTCAGGTATATAATGAGTTTCAAGGCAAAATTCCTAGCTTTTTATGATATACTTGTGAATCTCATAATCCGGCTTTCTCAACATGTTTCTTGTGATATAGTCATGCCCTGGAGCTGAATTTTTTCGTTGATATAAGATTTCAAAATATTCTTCTTCATCTACATTGAATTTATTATTTTCTTGTACAGGTATCTGCAAAAAGAAGTTTTCGTACCAATTGCTCACATTTTCATAATGATTGCGGTCGAAGTTCATGTTGACGCTTTTTTTAAGTTTTTAGCAAATATGTAAGCTTTTTCGGAAGGTAACTCATATTCAATATTGTTATCTATAATATTTTTAGTATGTACTCCATCCTTTTTGTATTTGGATAATTTCCGTATTTCATTCCAATAGGATTTGCCCCTCTTTTCATGCATGGCTTCACATATTTGAATCCATGTGTGGGTTTTGTATTCTTGAATCAAATTTTGAATGTTCTTGTTAAACTTATTATTTGAAGCTTTAGACGTTGGATCTCTGTTTACTCTATATTCACGATACATGTTCCTTTTTTTCTTAAACTCACAATAAATGAGGGAAGTTCATGTGTACAGAAATTATATTTAGTTTTTGGCGTATATTCTATAATTGTTTCAGACAATTCATTACAAAAGTCTTTTATTTGTTGATGGTTGATTTCATTTCCCAAAGTATCTGTATCTGTAGAGAAGGGAGGGTGAGTGTAAGCCCACATCACTTAGGCCACATGTGACCCATTGTACATCCTCCCGAGGAGTTGTTCTCCTAGGTCATCGTCCATCCTGTCCTTTCCAGGAAGGTGGACAGGTCACTGGGAGACATCTCCTTTATATCGGCAGGTGTAGGCTAAGACTCGCCGAACACACACTCTCTTATTGACGATAACTCCGGGCACTCGCACAGGACATGCCTGACAGTCTCCTCTTCCTGTTCACACATCCTGCATAGAGGTATGTCCACTAGCCCCATATTATGGAGGTGTTTTCTTAGTTGACAGTGGCCAGTCAGAAATCCTACTGTTAGGCATAGATTTTTCCTGGTCATCGCCAGATATTTCTTCAGCGCCAGCTTCCTAGGGTCGCCCAAGGTGATTCTGGCAAGATTACATCCTTTGATTCCATCCCATCTCTTGAAGGATTGAGCATGGATGTAACATTTGACTAGTTCCGCAATTGTCGAAGTCATCAGGCCGTAGGTGCCACTGGGTCCTAAAATTCTTAGTCCAGCCGCTTCCTTGGCTAAAGAGTCGGCAATGCGATTACCTTTACTCCTGTCGTGCCCTTTAACCTACCTCAGGATAATGTTATTATCTACCGAGGCTTTGGCTAAATCTTGGTGACACTCTAGTACTAGCCCTGAGGTTATATGTTGTCTGTTCAAGGCTAATAGGGCTTGTCTGCTGTCAGTGCAGATTGTTATGTTTTTTCCAGAAATTTCTTTCTTGGTTGTTTATTTTGTGGTGATTGAGATACCAGCTAGTTCTGTTTGGACCACGCTGGTATTTCTTCCCATTCCCCACTTAATCCTTAGGCTTAGTGATCTGGAGTACATTCCACATCCTGAGCCTTCTTTGGTTTTTGAGCCGTCTGTATGAATGCGTATTGCATTTGTAGCATCTGACTCTGTGTTCTGCTTAATTTGTATTTTGTAGGGTATACTAAACACAAACCTGGATTCAATTGCATCACTTGTTGCCTGCAGCAGAGGTTGTGCAGTAAGCGCTTCCCGCCATAGGCCCAGCCTCAATTGACCCATTCCTACTTCGAGGTTCACACCAGCCGTGCGCAATCGTATCATGGCCATTAACGCAACTTCCTTAATATACAGATCCAGAGGGGTTAGACCCGTTATTGATTCTATTGCCGCGGTTGGTGTTGTTCTCATGGCTTCTGTGATGTTTAAACAAACCAGTTGCTGTATTTGATATAATTTTTGGATGGCCGTTGCTTGTAGAACTTTCGGTCCCCATGCAATGGCTCCATACGTTAACATAGGTCTTATTATTGTAGTGTAGATCCAGGTAATCACACGGAGTGAAATACCCCATGCGCGTCCCACTGTCCTCTGACATTGCTCATAAGCCACGTATGCTCTTTAGATGAGAGTTCCATATTAGCTTCCTGTCGAGGATAGTACCAAGGTATTTCACATCTTCAGAGGAGTTCAGTTTGCTTTTGAAGATTTTGGGAGATTTTAAGCCTGTTAAACTTCTTTTCTTGGTGAAAAGGACCATCTCAGTCTTCTTGGCATTGATCGACAGTGAGTGTTCCTTACACCATGTTTCTATTAATTTGAGCCCATCCTGCGCTCTATCGCAGTGTGTTTACAAATTTGCCGGTCTGCTAGATAACTATGTCATCTGCGTATGCAATTGTGTAGAATCCATTTTTGTTAAGGTATCCAGAACTGGAACAGGGTATCCAGAACTATGTTTCAGAGAAGGGGTGATAAGACCCCTCCCTATGGACATCCCCTCATGACCAGTTCTTTCACTGTGTTGTCTTCTACATTAGTACTTATTGCTCTACTAGAGAGCATCTTGAGTATCCATTCTCCTACTACCAGGGGTTCATTCCTGGAGTGTAGTTGCTGGGTAATTATTGGAAACGTTGTTTTATCAAACGCTCCCTCGATATCTATGAATATACAAAGAGTGGATTCTTTGTTGTCCAATGATCTCTCGATTCTGCCAAACACATGGTGAAGGGCCGAATCAGTAGACCTTCCCGGAGTATATGCATGCTGATTTGTATGAAGTGGGTCGTGAACTAGTACTTCATCTCTTATGTACTGCTCACATAGCCTCTCCATGGTTTTTAAAAAAAACGATGTCAGACTAATTGGTCGGAATGCTTTTGGTAGGGTGTAGTCCATCCTACCTGGTTTGGGTATAAATACTACTCTTACTTCTCTCCACTTACTGGGAATATACCTCAGAGCTAGAGAGACTCCGAATATTCCAACCAGGTGTCCAGTCCCCACTGAAGTAGAGCTGGTCTTACACCGCCAGGTCCTGGTGTCTTGAAGGGGGAAAAGCCCGATACAGCCCATCTTATTTTGTCCTCATCAATTACTGCAATAGCAGATTGCCAGTCGTATTGTAATGGTGTTGTTGGTACTTCCATCCAGTTCGTCGTTCCAGGAAAGACAGAACCTGGGAAGTGAGTTTCCATAAGAATCTCAGCACTCTCCTGGAGGTTGGCGGCTTTGTCGCCATTTTCCCTCGTCAGGATGCCGATACTCTCATGATGGTCATTTGAGAGTGCCTTCTGTAGCCTAGAAGCTAGTGGGAAGTCTTCGACTGCCTCACAATAGGCTCTCCAGGCTTTGTTTTCGTCTGCAGACTTTTTTGAACTCTGAGGTTGGCTTGATATATATACCCTAGTCCTCTTCGAGTCTTGTACGTTTTGCCTTGTTGAAGGTCGTTCTCGCTGTCTTCCTGAGGCGTTCCAATTCAGGGCACCACCATGTCTGAACCATCTGTTTGAACCATCCTCATCGGACAGGATCCCTTATAGGCAATGTCTATTTTGTTGTGGATAGATACCGTGTACCTTTCAGTTCTTCATTG